AAAAAGCAAGCAACTTTGTGGGAGGCACTGTCCCTTTAGACAGTCTCCTCTAATTTCATGATCATTTACAGCTAACCCAGCGCCAGGTGCCCAAGGTGGTTTGGAACACATCTAACACACAACCTCATGAAGAGGCCAGTTGAACTGCACTGTTCCATCTGGTCCATAAAATGCAGGCGTTACTTTAAATGCCAGCCTTGTGCAGTTGTGTACGCTGTAACGTAACTGTCACAAAAGTCATTTCTGTACTCTAGCCCCTTAATGCCTTGATTTGAACTCAGAGTCTGCTCAATAAATGAGTCCTATAAGAAAAAAAAAAAAAAAATCACAGGTCATACTGGGTCTTACTAAGTTTCACGTTATTAGCAAGCCTCCTTTGGGGAGGCAGAATGCTGAGTGGAAATGCACTGGGCACAAGCCCCAAGTCCAGACTGGACTTAGGGGTGCCACTTTAAGTTGGGCAGATCACAGGGCTCAAATTTGTGAAACTGTGGGTTTTGGACCAGGTCTCCAAGACTGTATTTCTCAGAAATACTGTGCTACTTCCTAAATTTGCCCACACCCCATTTTGACTGCCAGTTTTTTGTTTTATTTTTACCTTTTAGTAAGAAAATGTAGTCAAAGAGCTGACCTCCATGCAAATTCCCAGGAACTGAATGACACGTCCCTGGAGCAAAAACCGTAAAACATAGACACTTCGGAGGTTAGGTCAAAGGAAGCTAGTGTTACATTTTTTAGTGCCAACATTTACTCGTGTTGAGACAAATTGTGACTATAATTCTCCCAGTCCTTTCTTTATTCCATGGTTCAGGACATGGCAGAGTGGAGGAAGTAACAGCCTGGTCACTGAAGAAGTCAGCTGTCCTGGGTTTAGACCTCAGCTCAACCAGAGGGGGAGAGGGACCGGAGAGCGAGGAGAAAAAGGAGAGAGAGAGAATAGGGGCTGGGTGACTGAAGGACTAGCATTTAAAGAAGTATTAATTGTGGGGTGTGCAGGCCAGATCTAAAAGTGAAGAAGTAGGGTTTGTAACTCAAAGGGCTTTAGGCTCTCAACAGTAAAACCTGTGAAAGCTGGAACCTGTGTAAGGTGGAAACCTGTCAGAGAAGGAAAACTCCAATATTTTCCACTAAAACAATAGAGAGAAAAATGGTGAAACTGCACCGTGTCAAAGGCAGAAAGAACCCATATGAGATCTGGAAAAAGAAGGCATGGAGTTCCGGCTCCCAGGTTTCACTGTCTTTAACTTTGTACCCTACATCTGTGATCTCCAAAATGGAATGTGGGAAGAAAAGTCTTGGATTTCTATTTTAAATGGTATTTATTTCAACCCTTCTTTAATTCCAATTTAGATAATCAGTACATATTGTAATACATACATCAACAAATATGCATGTGTATGATTTTACTGATGGGGATGCCATCAGAACCATTTGGAGACCAATGGACATCACTTTCTAACAGCAGATTGCCTCCTAACATTGCCTCAATTCCTGATTAATTATCTACATGAACATAATAAAAAATGGTTCTACATGATTTCCAAAAGGAAAGTACATTTAATTTTTTTCTAGATTTTAACAATATGCGTGTTCATAGTAGAACTTTTGGAAAACAGAAAATTAACAAAGAAGAAAATTAACACCCCACCTAACCCAACCTGTGTTTAGAAATAAAAAGGGAGGAGACATCTTCCCCTTTTGAAGTCTTGAGATCATTCTGAATTGTTCTCCCTTCTTTTATTTTAACCCGATAGGGTGCTGAAAAGTCACCCCCCAGCTCAGCTGACCCCAAGTCAGACAACGCCAACTTTATACCCCAGGAGACCCCAGGGGCAGCCAAGAATCCTAAAGGCTGCAGCCCCTCGGGCCAGGTGCCGGCGGCAGCATCTGCCGAGACAGCGAAGGAGGGTGGCAAGGAGAAAGCAGGACCCACCTCTCTGCCTCTGGGCAAGCTGTTTTGGAAAAAGGTAAGTCTTATTTTCAAGACTCGCCCAGATTTGCAGAGGACCCTCGAGATGGGTCGACTTGAGAAATTACCACTGTTGGTCAATCAATGCATTGAAACCACGTCTGGAGCCTCCTTTTTCTCCATAAATGATTCCGCTTGCCATTAGATTGAGGCCTTATGATTGACCCCGGGGAGAATGAAATGCCTGTCATGTTAAATACCATGTGTTTCACGGGAAAGAAAAGGAAACGGGCGAGTAAAATTTTTCATTCTTGGAGTGATTCCAGTTCGTGACACAGGCTGGTGGTATTTCACGGGTTCATTTTCTTTCTGAAATGGTTTATTACTATGGCTTCCTCCTGGTTCGCTCCGAGAGCTCTCACCCTGGCGAGATGAACCACCTCTGGGTTTTTATCTTCTTTTCCCCAGAGAGACATAATTACTCCTTATGAACCACTAGGTCTCACTGTTCCTTGGGAACACCAGGGAGGATGTCCACCAGTTCATTTCCAGGACAACTACTTACTGTGCTCGGGTACAGGAAAATGCAAACCACTGTGTGCTGCTTTGTCATTTCTTTCCCTCGAGAACTGACAGGTTCGAGGTGTGTCTGCACAGGGAAGTGGGGGCGAGGGCCTGCGTGTTCTGAGTTCTGTTGCGCAATCACTGTTGCTTAGGAAACCACAGCTGTGACACATGCCCTGAACTCTTGGCTGTTTTCTGTCTGGCCAGAAGACAAGCAAGAAGGTGTGTGGGGCGGGGGGGCATTCACAGAGCTGGAAAATCCAGCTTGGTAATTTCATCCAAACATCCTGCCACTTAGCACAAGGAAAGCAGGTGACAAATAACGATTTCACTGTGGTGTTCGTTTTATTTTCTTGTCCAGAATCCGGGTGGGCTCTTGTTTCTTGTTTGCTTCTTACTGGACAGAAATCATCCTTCTAGGTTCTGTCCGGAACACAGACTCCAGTATTTAATGGAAACCTTGGTTGGTGTCTGTTGGCATTCTGTTCTGCTCCTCCTTCCTCACCAAGTAACCAGCAGTTACTTGTTTTCATTTCCGTTTTTTTTTAATCTTTTATCAGCAGTATAGTGGAGGGGAGAGTCTATATTGTTCTAGGTGTAGTGTTATATGTGTATAATGGAGAGAAGAGTCTCTGAGTCAGTCATATGTGTACATTGGCAGCAAGGGCGATGACTTGGGTGATCACGCCTGTGATCCAATCGGCCAATGCCAGTAGCTGCTGTCTGTGCAGTTTGTTCCCACTGTGCTCATGAAAGTTGAGGCACTAACCATGTTAAGGTCATTATCCTTCATTCTGCACAATTTTGGGAGCTCCTCCGCAGTTCCTCCAGGACTTTCTCTTTTCCTTTTCTTGGGCGTTTATAAGTGATATGTTGGTTCTGCTTGGACGTTCAAGCTGTCCCCATTGAAAGTCAAAGTCAGAATCACTGGACATCCATCTCTCTCTTGGCAGAATCCATTTATTTCAGTCTCACTGTTCTGTGCATCATTGTCCAGCTTTATTTCTTCAGTAGTTTGTGAAACTCATGAACCAAACACCAAATCACCTCTAAACCTTGCCTTTCCTTCTCTCACCCAATCAGGAAAAAATAAAATACTTCTATGTGGAAGTAGGAAGCTCTGGTAGCATAGTGCCTAAGACACTTGACTGCTAACCAGAAGTCTGGTGGTTCAAACCCACCAGCCACTCCTCGGAAGGAAGATGGGGCAATCTACTTCCATAGTGATACTGCTTCAGAAACCAAAGGATGGGTTGCTATGAGTCAGGTCTGACTCGACGGCACATAACAGCAACAACATGTGGAAGTAAAATAGGGAAGATCCACTCATTCAGTTGTGTTTTTAATCAGTTTCTTTGTACTAAGTTCTTTCTGTCAAATCCTTTGAGCTGAAGTATTCCAGGCCTGGCAAAAATGGCCATGAACTAGACACTGCACACAGTGGCTGACAGTCCTGTTGTGGGGCTTATGCTCAAGGAGAACACAATGTGAGGACCTTTCTTTTCCCTGAAGTGGAATAAATTTTGGCTATAAAAATCAGTCTTGTAAACAGAGTTCTTACGTGGGGAGGTGAACACCAGGAAATTCTTACATGTTCACTGATAATGAACCCTGTGCTCTTTCCTTTTTCTTTTCACGGAGAAAGCTTTTATGTTCACTGACTTTGGGGTCTAAAAGTCTTGATTATGAAAGTCCAAAAGGATTTTTCCTCCAACAGGCTTTGAGTATGAAACTGTAAGTCATTGAATATACACTCCTGATTGCAGAAGTAATTCTTTTATAAATTAGAATAATAATAACTTTTGAAGAAATCAACTTCAGGTTTTCATGTACTTCAAGAAATGGTTAAAACCCAGTTACTGACTTCACAGTTGTGGTTAGTTGGGCTGCCACAGCTCTCTGTGACCTTGTCACGTGTATTAGTCTGTTTGTCTTTCCTCATCTCTGTAATGAATGGGTTGGAGTAGATTGATCTGGAAAAATCTTGTGTAACCCAAGTCTCACATACCAGCCAGAATCCAAGAGATGGGGCTGAGTACCCTCACACAACCTCGGAGCCCCTGCTTTCCTATCTGTAGCATAATACTGAATAGGCCATGGACCACCCGAAGAACGAGGAAGTCTGTCTTGCAAAAGGTACAGCCAGAATGCTCCTTGGAAGTAAGGATGGTGAGGCTTCATCTCACTTACTTTGGACCTGTTCTCGTGAGGGACCAGTCCCTGGAGAAAGACATCTTGCTTGATAAAGTTCGAGGGTCAGAGAGAAAGAGGAAGACCTCCTTGCAATGGATTGGCACAGTGGCTGCAACGATGGACTGAAACATAGCACCAGTTGTGCGGATGGCACAGGACCGGGCAGCGTTTAATGCATCTGGAACATCATCTCATAATAGCCCTTGTCCTGCTTCCCTTTGGAGGGCTCAAGTGACAGGGTAGAAGAATAACGTGGGCACTGAGGCCAAAGGAACACATGGTCAAATCTCCACTCCAGGGGTCACTGGCTGTTTGCCTGGATCACTTAAACAACCCCCTCACTGAATATCAGTTTCCTTAGCTGGAAAACTGGCCAGTGACATCTCCTTCCATGGTCATTGGGAGGACTGAGTCAGAAGATGAATGCAAAGTGATGGACATGCAGAGAGTGAGCTGCTCTTTGCAAAACAATGACATTTGTGATCCAGCATTAACTGATGGAAGGCCCATTGGTGCCGCAGATAGTCTCTGTTCAACTGCAGACCTAAAGGTTGGTGATTTGAACCCATCCAGTAACAGAAATCAAGGTATAGTGATCTGCTTCTGTCTAGATTACAGCCAAGAATAGAGTCTCAATGGCACAAATGGTTCAGCACTCAGCTGCTAATATAAAGATTGACATTTCAAACCCTCCCAGCAGCAGCACTCCATGGAAGAAAGGGCTGGTGTTCTGCACCCATAAAGATGACAACCTAGAAAACCCTGTGGGGCAGTTCTGCTCTGTCACATTGGGTCACTGTGAGTCAGAATGGACTCACCAAACAACAAAGTTTCCAGTTGTGGGGCTAAAAACCAGAATAACGACAACCATCCATTGCCTTCAGTGGATCCTGACTCCTAGTGACCCCCGTTGGGTTTCCAAGGCTGCAAATATTTATGGAAGCAGATGTCCTCATCTTCCTTCTGCAGAGCAGCTGGTGGGTTTAACTGCCAACCTTCTGGTTAGCAGCCAAATGCCTTACCCACTACACAATCAGAGGTCCGTAACTGTGGGAGAGTCCATATGAAATAAAAATGAAAATTGTTTCTTAAAAATAAATAAAGAAGAGTTCCGGCAAGATGGTGGACTAGGCAGAAGGACTGTACAGACCCTCTTCAACAAAGAAAAGGGAAACCAATTAACACAGACACAGAAGATAATCTTGGACCCCTGAGCCTTGAAGGGAAGGATACA